AATGGCATATCATACATTCATGTGGTTGTACAATATAATGTAGACACTACTTCGTACTACAATGCATACATACATTAAAATAAATGCGGAAATAAATTAAAATAAATTGACGTAAAATGTAACATCACTTTAGCTTGCTGAGAGGAGTTGATAGTCTACGAGGATGGTGGTGAGGAAGGGGATGAGCAGGAGGAGGAGATGTTATCTTTTGCAAGGAGAGTTCCCCCTTCCATTAAAACTTCAGGAAGCTGAAATTCTGGGGGGGGGGGTTCCTCTTGTCTGTCTTTTTTCTTGACTTGGACCTGCTTGAGGCTCACCAGGTTTGAGTTTTACTAAAAACCTGTCCATTGGAAGTTTGTTTTTAGCCTTCTCCTAAGAATGTTCCTGAAGTGTCACATTGTCTGGTCACTCCACGCAATACTGTTACGGCTTGTTAGAGCTTCGTTGGGGACGGGGTCTACGCGGGAACACGGTGACTCATCCCGACCCATACAAGTTCTAGCGAGACGTCGTACCCTAAGACGTCGTACCCCAAGCAAGACGTCGTACCCCAAGACGTCGTACCCCAAGCAAGACGTCGTACCCCAAGACGTCGTACCCCAAGACGTCGTACCCCAAGACGTCGTGCCTCAAGACGTCGTACCCCAAGACGTCGTACCCCAAGCAAGACGTTGTACCCCAAGACGTCGTACCCCAAGCAAGACGTCGAACCCCAATACATTTTTTCTCGTCAAAACACGTGTACCAAATTGGACGTATTCCAAAGCGGTCGTATACCGAGGTTTGACTGCATGAGTTGAATAAAGTCAACAATTTTTGTGCGTTTATGCTGGAAAATTACAAATGTTTGGAGTAGTTGTTAGCATCTTGATTGTAGATAGAAAAAAATAATTGTAACAAAAATCACATCGGGTTCATTTTTCTTGGTTCTTTCGGTAAAGTCACCACCACGTAGAAGGGAAACAATAAAATAATAAAAGTATAAAACAATACAATTCTCACGTTTCGACTGCAACACAAGCAATCATCATCAGGTGTGAAAACCACAGCAAGAAAATTTGAAAAACGGCCACTTTTTTCAAATTTTCTTGCTGTGGTTTTCACACCTGATGATGATTGCTTCTGGTGTTGCAGTCGAAACGACGTGAGAATTTTATTGTTTTATATTTTTATTATTTTATTGTTTCCCTTCTAAAGTGGTGGTGACTTTACCGAAAGAACCAAGAATGTGAATCCCTGCAGTCACGAAAGCTTTAAATCAAAATAAGGTTCATTGTTATATTTCTTGACAACGTTTTGCCTGGCGAAGACAGCCTTCGTGAACTGGTAATTTATCAAAGTTAAACTTTGTGTTTTATATATACGTAGATCGACGTTTTTTGTTGAGCACGCTTACAATAAAAACATTTTTTTTAAAGGCGGTTTTATTATTTTTACTCAATTGTTCTGGAAAAAAATAAATTTAACAAAAAAAATTCAACGCATCTCATGCCCTTAATGCTTAGATGTTAACCCGTGCGCTTTGCCCCGTATTCATGCACTCGGGAAATCAGTTTTCATATCCATACCGGCGTACAGCCGTTTCAAAAATATTTCGTCTATTTTTTGTCTATTTGTTTGAGTTTCTCTATCTTGCGATGGGACTTTGTAGGGTGAACGTTGAAGATTTATTAGGGGCCACGGGGGTGACCCATTAAGGTCTGAATTGGTCTGTAATAAGTTCGGCACTGATAAGGGGTCGACAGGTTTGTAGTGTTTACATTATGAGACCTCCTTTGCCAGTAACAAGATATAGTAATAGGTTTTTACCCTTTTAATTGGCACAAAAACTGACACCTTTATTCAAGGCATCATGTTTGCAATAACCACAACACAAGCAGTCAAAATGCAAACAAAAGAGACAACTCTGATAATAATATTGGCACTGTCTCTTTTGTTTGCATTTTGACTGCTTGTGTTGTGGTTATTGCAAACATGATGCCTTGAATAAAGGTGTCAGTTTTTGTGCCAGTTAAAAGGGTAAAACCTATTACTATAGGTTTGTAGTGGTGAGTGTAGTGGTGGTGATGTGCTATTCGCGTTTCCATACCTTGCGATGGGACTTTGTAGGGTGAACGTTGAAGATTTATTAGGGGCCACGGGGTGACCCATTAAGGTCGGAATTGGTCTGTAAAGTTCGGCACTGATAAGGCGTTGACAGGTTTGTAGTGGTGAGTGTAGTGGTGGTGATGTTCTATCTGTGTTTCTCTACCTTGCGATGGGACTTTGTAGAGTGAACGTTGAAGATTTATTAGGGGCAATGGGGGTGACCCATTAAGGTCTGAATTGGTCTGTAATAAGTTCGGCACTGATAAGGTTTGTAGTGGTGAGTGTAGTGGTGGTGATGTTCTATCTGTGTTTCTCTACCTTGCGATGGGACTTTGTAGGGTGAACGTTGAAGAATTATTAGGGGCCACGGGGTGACCCATTAAGGTCTGAATTGGTCTGTAATAAGTTCGGCACTGATAAGGCGTTGACAGGTTTGTAGTGGTGAGTGTAGTGGTGGTGATGTTCTATTTGGGTTCTCTACCTTGCGATGGGACTTTGTAGGGTGAACGTTGAAGATTTATTAGGGGCCACGGGGGTGACCCATTAAGGTCTGAATTGGTCTGTAATAAGTTCGGCACTGATAAGGTTTGTAGTGGTGAGTGTAGTGGTGGTGATGTTCTATTTGAGTTATCTACCTTGCGATGGGACTTTGTAGGGTGAACGTTGAAGATTTATTAGGGGCCACGGGGGTGACCCATTAAGGTCTGAATTGGTCTGTAATAAGTTCGGCACTGATAAGGTGTTGACAGGTTTATAATCAGGAAGAGAAACACGCGTATAATAGTTGACGTTTCAGGCTTTGGGCCTTCTTCAGTGCGCACAGAGAAGCCAGGAGAGACAGAGTGGACGATGATGAGAGTTGCAGGCTGCAGAAATTTTCACACCTGGCGAGAATTACATTTTAAACCACCTAAGTTTTGTTCAATACTTAAGTCACACTTTTAGTAGCTATTGATTACCAAACCCCTTTAAATAATCCCACAAAGTATTGAGTGTTAAATAATAATCAGTTCATTTATATTCAAAGTGTGATCATAAAATAGCAGCTAATGCATAACTCTTCATATGCCAATTGAAAAACTGTTTATATTGTTAAATGTGTAGTGACACTGAATGAGTCACTGCAGCGCTGGGAGATTGGTAGACATGTGGAATTTGGGTAGCAGCCCCATTCTACCAGTTGCACCTGTGGGCAACTGGTGGTTGGGTGGGTGAGTAGGTGAATGGGTGGGTGAGTGGGTCAATGGGTGGGTGAGTGGGTGGGTGAGTAGGTGGTTGGGTGGGTGAGTAGGTGAATGGGTGGGTGAGTGGGTCAATGGGTGGGTGAGTGGGTGGGTGAGTAGGTGGATGGGTGGGTGAGTAGGTGAATGGGTGGGTGAGTGGGTCAATGGGTGGGTGAGTGGGTGGGTGAGTAGGTGGATGGGTGGGTGAGTAGGTGAATGGGTGGGTGAGTGGGTCAATGGGTGGGTGAGTGGGTGGGTGAGTAGGTGGATGGGTGGGTGAGGTGGATGGATGGGTGAGTAGGTGAATGGGTGGGTGAGTGGGTCAATGGGTGGGTGAGTGGGTGGGTGAGTAGGTGGATGGGTGGGTGAGGTGGATGGGTGGGTGAGTAGGTGAATGGGTGGGTGAGTGGGTCAATGGGTGGGTGAGTGGGTGGGTGAGTAGGTGGATGGGTGGGTGAGTAGGTGAGTAGGTGAATAGGTGGGTGAGTGGGTCAATGGGTGGGTGAGTGGGTGGGTGAGTAGGTGGATGGGTGGGTGAGTAGGTGAGTGGGTCAATGGGTGGGTGAGTGGGTGGGTGAGTAGGTGAATTGGTGGGTGAGTAGGTGAATGGGTGGGTGAGTGGGTCAATGGGTGGGTGAGTAGGTGAATGGGTGGGTGAGTAGGTGAGTGGGTGGGTGAGTAGGTGAATGGGTGGGTGAGTGGGTCAATGGGTGGGTGAGTAGGTCAATGGGTGGGTGAGTAGGTGAGTGGGTGGGTCAGTAGGTGAGTAGGTGAATGGGTGGGTGAGTGGGTCAATGGGTGGGTGAGTAGGTGAGTGGGTGGGTGAGTAGGTGAGTGGGTGGGTGAGTAGGTGAATGGGTGGGTGAGTGGGTCAACGGGTGGGTGAGTGGGTGGGTGAGTAGGTGAATGGGTGGGTGAGTAGGTGAATGGGTGGGTGAGTGGGTCAATGGGTGGGTGAGTGGGTGGTGAGTAGGTGAATGGGTGGGTGAGTAGGTGAATGGGTGGGTGAGTAGGTGTTGGTGGGTGAGTAGGTGAATGGGTGGGTGAGTGGGTGGGTGAGTGGGTGTTAGTGGGTGAGTAGGTGAATGGGTGGGTGAGTAGGTGAGTAGGTGGGTGAGTAGGTGAATGGGTGGGTGAGTGGGTGGGTGTGTAGGTGAATGGGTGAGTAGGTGGGTGAGTAGGTGTTGGTGGGTGAGTAGGTGAATGGGTGGGTGAGTAGGTGGGTAAGTAGGTGTTGGTGGGTGAGTAGGTGAATGGGTTAGTAGGTGGGTGAGTAGGAGATGTTGGTGGGTGAGGTGAGTTGGTGCGTGGGTGGGTGAGTAGGTGGGTGAGTAGGAGGTGTTGGTGAGTAGGTGGGTGAGTAGGAGGGGTTGGTGGGTGAGGTGAGTTGGTGCGTGGGTGGATGAGTAGGTGGGTGAGTAGGTGTTGGTGGGTGAGGTAAGTTGGTGCGTGGGTGGGTGAGTAGGTGGGTGAGTAGGAGGTGTTGGTGAGTAGGAGGTGAGTGGGGTAGTGAAATCAAACATCAATGGAAGCAAAGAGAAATCAGCGCAAAAAATAATTTGCCGTCACCAAATGAGAAATTAAAAATACTGCACAAACACAAATCAATACAGCGATTTACTCACCCGTTTCTACATTAACACGGTTGGCTACGTACGGTGCGAACAAAGTCCAAAGATACAGCTACTGTGAGTTTGTATAGTTTATTTTCTGACTATAATAAATATACACAATAGTGTTATAATGTTTAATTTCCTTGACGACAACCTCACCCAGTGTGTTTTCAGACTCCGTATTTCCCTCAGCAAGTTGGTCGAGGCGACTGTGGCGGCTACGGCTGAGGAGTTACAGGAAATAATCTCAGACCTCCACAATCACCGTATATATACAAGATTGTTATTTTATTATAATTCATTGACAACCTCACCCAGTGTGTTTGCAGACTTCGTATTTCCCTCAGCAAGATGGTCCACGCGTTGCTAGCGGCTACGGCTGAGGAGTTAGAGAGGAAATCATCTGAGACCTCCACAATCACCGTGTATATACAATAGTTTAATTATATTATAATTTATTGATAACTTCACCCAGTGTGTTTGCAGACTTCGTATTTCCCTCAGCAAGATGGTCCACGCGTTGCTAGCGGCTACGGCTGAGGAGTTAGGACATCCTCTAAGACTTCCACAATCACCGTGTATATGCACACAATAGTTTAATTATATTATAATTCATTGACAACCTCACCCAGTGTGTTTGCAGACTTCGTATTTCCCTCAGCAAGATGATCGAGGCGACTGTGGCGGCTGCGGCTGAGGAGTTAGAGAGATCCTCTCAGACTTCCACAATCACCGTGTATATATACACACACAATAGTTTAATTATATTATAATCCATTGACAACCTCACCCAGTGTGTTTGCAGACTTCGTATTTCCCTCAGCAAGATGGTCCACGCGTTGCTAGCGGCTACGGCTGAGGAGTTAGGAAATCATCTCAGACCTCCACAATCACCGTATATACACAAGATTGTTATTTTATTATAATCCATTGACAACCTCACCCAGTGTGTTTGCAGACTTCGTATTTCCCTCAGCAAGATGGTCGAGGCGACTGTGGCGGCTACGGCTGAGGAGTTATAGAGGAGATCCTCTGAGACTTCCACAATCACCGTGTATATATATACACAATAGTTTAATTATATTATAATCCATTGACAACCTCACCCAGTGTGTTTGCAGACTTCGTATTTCCCTCAGGAAGATGGTCGAGGCGACTGTGGCGGCTACGGCTGAGGAGTTAGAGAGGAAATCATCTCAGACCTCCACAATATACAAGATTGTTATTATATTATAATCCATTGACAACCTCACCCAGTGTGTTTGCAGACTTCGTATTTCCCTGAGCAAGATGGTCGAGGCGACTGTGGCGGCTACGGCTGAGGAGTTATAGAGGAGACCCTTTGAGACTTCCACAATCACCGTGTATATGCACACAATAGTTTAATTATATTATAATTCATTGACAACCTCACCCAGTGTGTTTGCAGACTTCGTATTTCCCTCAGCAAGATGATCGAGGCGACTGTGGCGGCTACGGCTGAGGAGTTAGAGAGATCCTCTCAGACTTCCACAATCACCGTGTATATACACACACACAATAGTTTAATTATATTATAATCCATTGACAACCTCACCCAGTGTGTTTGCAGACTTCGTATTTCCCTCAGCAAGATGGTCCACGCGTTGCTAGCGGCTACGGCTGAGGAGTTAGGAAATCATCTCAGACCTCCACAATCACCGTATATACACAAGATTGTTATTTTATTATAATCCATTGACAACCTCACCCAGTGTGTTTGCAGACTTCGTATTTCCCTCAGCAAGATGGTCGAGGCGACTGTGGCGGCTACGGCTGAGGAGTTATAGAGGAGATCCTCTGAGACTTCCACAATCACCGTGTATATATATACACAATAGTTTAATTATATTATAATCCATTGACAACCTCACCCAGTGTGTTTGCAGACTTCGTATTTCCCTCAGGAAGATGGTCGAGGCGACTGTGGCGGCTACGGCTGAGGAGTTAGAGAGGAAATCATCTCAGACCTCCACAATATACAAGATTGTTATTATATTATAATCCATTGACAACCTCACCCAGTGTGTTTGCAGACTTCGTATTTCCCTGAGCAAGATGGTCCACGCGGTGCTAGCGGCTACGGCTGAGGAGTTAGAGAGGAAATCATCTCAGACCTCCACAATCACCGTATACACAAGATTGTTATTTTATTATAATTCATTGACAACCTCACCCAGTGTGTTTGCAGACTTCGTATTTCCCTCAGCAAGATGGTCGAGGCGACTGTGGCGGCTACGGCTGAGGAGTTATAGAGGAGACCCTTTGAGACTTCCACAATCACCGTGTATATGCACACAATAGTTTAATTATATTATAATTCATTGACAACCTCACCCAGTGTGTTTGCAGACTTCGTATTTCCCTCAGCAAGATGATCGAGGCGACTGTGGCGGCTACGGCTGAGGAGTTAGAGAGATCCTCTCAGACTTCCACAATCACCGTGTATATATACACACACAATAGTTTAATTATATTATAATCCATTGACAACCTCACCCAGTGTGTTTGCAGACTTCGTATTTCCCTCAGCAAGATGGTCCACGCGTTGCTAGCGGCTACGGCTGAGGAGTTAGGAAATCATCTCAGACCTCCACAATCACCGTATATACACAAGATTGTTATTTTATTATAATCCATTGACAACCTCACCCAGTGTGTTTGCAGACTTCGTATTTCCCTCAGCAAGATGGTCGAGGCGACTGTGGCGGCTACGGCTGAGGAGTTATAGAGGAGATCCTCTGAGACTTCCACAATCACCGTGTATATATATACACAATAGTTTAATTATATTATAATCCATTGACAACCTCACCCAGTGTGTTTGCAGACTTCGTATTTCCCTCAGGAAGATGGTCGAGGCGACTGTGGCGGCTACGGCTGAGGAGTTAGAGAGGAAATCATCTCAGACCTCCACAATATACAAGATTGTTATTTTATTATAATCCATTGACAACCTCACCCAGTGTGTTTGCAGACTTCGTATTTCCCTCAGCAAGATGGTCCACGCGTTGCTAGCGGCTACGGCTGAGGAGTTAGAGAGGAAATCATCTCAGACCTCCACAATCACCGTATACACAAGATTGTTATTTTATTATAATTCATTGACAACCTCACCCAGTGTGTTTGCAGACTTCGTATTTCCCTCAGCAAGATGGTCGAGGCGACTGTGGCGGCTACGGCTGAGGAGTTATAGAGGACACCCTTTGAGACTTCCACAATCACCGGGTATATATACACAATAGTTTAATTATATTATAATCCATTGACAACCTCACCCAGTGTGTTTGCAGACTTCGTATTTCCCTGAGCAAGATGGTCCACGCGGTGCTAGCGGCTACGGCTGAGGAGTTAGAGAGGAAATCATCTCAGACCTCCACAATCACCGTATATATACAATAGTTTAATTATATTATAATCCATGGACAACCTCACCCAGTGTGTTTGCAGACTTCGTATTTCCCTGAGCAAGATGGTCCACGCGGTGCTAGCGGCTACGGCTGAGGAGTTAGAGAGGAAATCATCTCAGACCTCCACAATCACCGTATATATACAATAGTTTAATTATATTATAATCCATTGACAACCTCACCCAGTGTGTTTGCAGACTTCGTATTTCCCTCAGCAAGATGGTCGAGGCGACTGTGGCGGCTACGGCTGAGGAGTTATAGAGGACACCCTTTGAGACTTCCATAATCACCGGGTATATATACACACAATAGTTTAATTATATTATAATCCATTGACAACCTCACCCAGTGTGTTTGCAGACTCCGTATTTCCCTCAGCAAGATGGTCGAGGCGACTGTGGCGGCTTCTGCAGCTGAGTTGGGGGGGGGTGGTGGGGGAGAGATTTCCTCTCCCTCCGCCCTTCACCGCCATCGCTTCGCTTCGTCGTCATCGCCGTTTGCCGCCATTTGTGTAGTTGTAGTTGTTGTTGTGGGTGGTTGTGGCTGGTTGTGGTTGGTTGTGGTAGGAAGGGGAGGGGTGGTGTGTGTGTAAAGAATAAGTTTTGAAGGCTGTGGCGGCCGGTGGTTTGTGAATACTGAGAGATTTAGAGAGGAGAGAAACGACTTCACCAACACCACCATCATCATCATCAACAAACTCTTTAATTTACGACGGAATTCACCCCCGCCACTTCCTCTCTCTCTCGTTACTTTAAAAGAGGTTTCCCTCACGCGTCTTGTCGTCTTCGTCGTCTTTGTAAAAAAAAAACATTCTCGTTCAGGGTGGAGGTGGGTGTCGTGTCTGCTGTGTTAGTTTAAGATCTTAGAGTAGTAGTAGTGTCGGTAACGTAGTCAGATTTTATTTAGTTATTATTGTGTGTTAGTTTGAGAGTAGTAGTCGTGGTAGTGTCGCTAACGTAGTCAGATTTTGTTATTATTGTGTTAGTTTAAGAGTAGTAGTAGTAGTGTCGCTAACGTAGTCAGATTTTATTTTGTTATTATTATTGTGTGTTAGTTTGAGAGTAGTAGTCGTGGTAGTGTCGCTAACGTAGTCAGATTTTGTTATTATTGTGTTAGTTTAAGAGTAGTAGTAGTGTCGCTAACGTAGTCAGATTTTATTTTATTATTATTGTGTGTTAGTTTGAGAGTAGTAGTCGTGGTAGTGTCGCTAACGTAGATTTTATTTTGTCAGATTTTATTTTGTTATTATTGTGTGTTATCTTCTTTGGTTCTTTCGGTAAAGTCACGTAGAATGAGAATACGTGACTTTATTGTTATTATTGTGTGTTAGTTTGAGAGTAGTAGTAGTGATAGTGTCGCTAACGTAGTCAGATTTTATTTTGTTATTATTGTGTGTTAGTTTAAGATCTTAGAGTAGTAGTGATAGTGTCGCTAACGTAGTCAGATTTTATTTTGTTATTATTGTGTGTTAGTTTAAGATCTTAGAGTAGTAGTGATAGTGTCGCTAACGTAGTCAGATTTTATTTTGTTATTATTGTGTGTTAGTTTGAGAGAGTGGTAGTGGTCGCTAACATAGATTTTATTTTGTTATTATTGTGTGTTAGTTTGAGAGAGTGGTAGTGGTAGTGTCGCTAACGTAGATTTTATTTTGTTATTATTGTTGTGTTAGTTTAAGAGTAGTAGTGATAGTGTCGCTAACGTAGATTTTATTTTATTATTGTGTGTTAGTTTGAGAGTAGTGGTAGTGTCGCTAACATAGTCAGATTTTATTTTGTTATTATTATTGTGTGTTAGTTTGAGAGAGTGGTAGTGGTCGCTAACATAGATTTTATTTTGTTATTATTGTGTGTTAGTTTGAGAGAGTGGTAGTGGTAGTGTCGCTAACGTAGATTTTATTTTGTTATTATTGTTGTGTTAGTTTAAGAGTAGTAGTGATAGTGTCGCTAACGTAGATTTTATTGTTATTATTGTGTGTTAGTTTGAGAGTAGTAGTGGTAGTGGTCGCTAACATAGTCAGATTTTATTTTGTTATTATTATTGTGTGTTAGTTTGAGAGAGTGGTAGTGGTAGTGTCGCTAACGTAGATTTTATTTTGTTATTATTGTTGTGTTAGTTTAAGAGTAGTAGTGGTAGTGTCGCTAACGTAGTCGTATTTAATTTTGTTATTATTGTTGTGTGTTAGTTTGAGAGTAGTAGTGGTAGTGGTTGCTAACATAGTCAGATTTTATTTTGTTATTATTATTGTGTGTTAGTTTAAGAGTAGTAGTGGTAGTGTCGCTAACGTAGTCAGATTTTATTTGTTATTATTATTGTGTGTTAGTTTGAGAGAGTGGTAGTGGTCGCTAACGTAGATTTTATTTTGTTATTATTGTTGTGTGTTAGTTTAAAAGTAGTAGTGGTAGTGTCGTTAATATAATTTATTTTGTTATTATTGCCGTGTTCACGCGATAGTTTATTTTAGGGGGTGGGGGTCGATCGCTTTGAATATCTGAGGAGAGTTTAACGCAGTTATTTTATTTTAAAGTTTATTTTTGTTTGTTTGTAAACTTTCAACACTCGCAACACCCCCCACCCCCACCGCCTCCAAGGGACATTTAAAGATGCCCGTAAATAAAGAAGGTACAGTGCAAGATTTATATAATTACACTTTACACACACACACACTGTATATAACTACATTACACACTATATATAACTGCATTACACACACAGTGTATACCTACATTACACACACTGTATATATAACTACATTACACACACACAGTGTATAACTACATTACACACACTGTGTATATACAAATACATTACACACTGTGTGTATAACTACATTACACACAGTGTGTATAACTACATTACACACTGTATATACAACTACATCACACACTGTGTATAACTACATTACACAGTGTATATGACTACATTACACACACACTGTATAAATACATTACACACACTGTATATAAAACTACATTACACACACACTGTGTATAACTACATTACACACACACTGTGTATAACTACATTACACACACACTGTGTATAACTACATTACACACACTGTGTATAACTACATTACACACACACTGTGTATAACTACATTACACACACTGTGTATAACTACATTACACACACACTGTGTATAACTACATTACACACACTGTGTATAACTACATTACACACACACTGTGTATAACTACATTACACACACAGTGTATAACTACATTACACACACAGTGTATAACTACATTACTCACACTGTATAAATACATTAGACACACTATAACTACATTACACACTGTGTACAACTACATTACACACTGTGTATATACAACTACATCACACACTGTGTATAACTACATTACACACAGTGTATATGACTACATTACACACACACTGTATAAATACATTACACACACTGTATATACAACTATATTACACACACACTGTGTATAACTACATTACACACACACAGTGTATGACTACATTACACACACTGTTTATAACTACATTACACACACACTGTGTATAACTACATTACACACACAGTGTATAACTACATTACACACACAGTGTATAACTACATTACTCACACTGTATAAATACATTAGACACACTGTATATACAACTACATTACACACACACTGTATAACTACATTACACACACTGTGTATAACTACATTACACACACTGTATAACTACATTACACACAGTGTGTATATTACTACATTACACACACAGTGTGTATAACTACATTACACACACTGTGTATAACTACATTACACACTGTATAACTACTTTACACACGCTGTGTATAACTACATTACACACAGTGTATATAACTACATTACACACTGTGTATAACTACATTACACACACACACTGTATAACTACATTACACACACTGTGTATAACTACATTACACACAGTGTATATAACTACATTACACACAGTGTATATAACTACATTACACACTGTGTATAACTACATTACACACACTGTGTATCACTACATTACACACACACTTTGTATATTACTACATTACACACACACAGTGTATATATAACTACATTACACACACAGTGTGTATATAACTACATTACACACACAGTGTGTATATTACTACATTATACACACACAGTGTGTATATTACTACATTACACACACACTGTGTACATTACTACATTACACACATTGTGTATATTACTACATTACACACACACTGTGTATATTACTACATTACACACAGACAGTATGTATATTACTACATTACACACACACACTGTGTATATTACTACATTACACACACTGTATATTACTACATTACACACACACTGTGTATATTACTACATTATACACACATAGTGTGTATATTACTACATTACACACACACACTGTGTATATTACTACATTACACACACACACTGTGTATATTACTACATTACACACACACAGTGTGTATATTACTACATTACACACACAGTGTGTATATTACTACATTACACACACACACTGTGTATATTACTACATTACACACACACACACTGTGTATATTACTACATTACACACACACACACTGTGTATATTACTACATTACACACACACACTGTGTATATTACTATATTACACACACACACACTGTGTATATTACTACATTACACACACACACTGTGTATATTACTACATTACACACACACAGTGTGTGTATTACTACATTACACACACACACAGTGTATATTACTACATTACACACACACTGTGTATATTACTACATTACACACACACAGTGTGTATATTACTACATTATACACACATAGTGTGTATATTACTACATTACACACACAGTGTGTATATTACTACATTACACACACACAGTGTGTATATTACTACATTACACACACAGTGTGTATATTACTACATTACACACACACACTGTGTATATTACTACATTACACACACACAGTGTGTGTATTACTACATTACACACACACACAGTGTATATTACTACATTACACACACACTGTGTATATTACTACATTACACACACACAGTGTGTATATTACTACATTACACCCACACAGTGTGTATATTACTACATTACACACACAGTGTGTATATTACTACATTACACACACACTGTGTATATTACTACATTACACACACACAGTGTGTATATTACTACATTACACATACACTGTATATTACTACATTACACACACACAGTGTATATTACTACATTATACACACATAGTGTGTATATTACTACATTACACACACACTGTGTATATTACTACATTACACATACACAGTGTGTATATTACTACATTACACACAGTGTGTATATTACTACATTACACACACACAGTGTGTATATTACTACATTACACACACACTGTGTATATTACTACATTACACACACACACACTGTATATTACTACATTACACATACACAGTGTGTATATTACTACATTACACTCACACACACGGTGTGTATATGATATGTGTGTGTATAACATTCTCGCGATGAGTTTTACGAAGTTTCGCGTGCGACGATTGTGTTAAAAAGTTGCGTTTAAAAGTTACGAAGTGCCACGTGGCCTACTCTTCCACTGCTTGTCGTCAGTGAGATAGCTTGTGACGTCTAAAGTTAGCCGTCTTGTCACGGTGACCTTGGCCTACTCTTCCACTGCTCGTCGTCTGTGAGATAACTCGCAGTTGCACTCCCACTGACAGTGAAATCTAAAGTTGACTTTATCTTTAGTAAGAGTTAAAGAGAGAGGAGACTTAATGGTTTTTAACGTACACGCGCCTTACTTTATTACAGATATTCTTGGTCCTTTCGGTAAAGTCACCGCGTTAGAAGGGAAACAATAAAATAATTTTAAAAAATATAAAACAATAAAATTCTCACGACGTTTCGACTGCAACACCAAGCAGTCATCATCAGGTGTGAAAAAAACCACAGCAAGAAAACCACAGCAAGAAAAATTCAAATTTTCTTGCTGTGGTTTTCACACCTGATGATGATTGCTTGTGTTGTAGTCGAAACGTCGTGATAATTTTATTGTTTTATATTTTTATTATTTTATTCTTGCTGTGGTTTTCACACCTGATGATGATTGCTTGTGTTGCAGTCGAAACGTCGTGAGAATTTTATTGTTTTATATATTTTTTAATTATTTTATTGTTTCCCTTCTAACGTGGTGGTGACTTTACCGAAAGAACCAAGAATATGAATCCCTGCAGTCACGAAAGCTTTAAATCAAAATTTATTACACATGTTACACTTTTTTTGACGATTGTTATTCAACTCTTGAGTTTTGTGTGTTGTGTAAAATGTGTTGCGATGTGCAGTCCCTGTGGCACGCTACTTACACTTTAAAGACATTCAGCTTGAGTGATTGTCACGACTTTTCGGTTTTTACCACGACGAGAATGTTGTTTTTATGAATGTCACGAGATTTCTTGCCATATGTTTGGTTTACATAAAAACGAAATAGAATGTACAGATTGTAGTTAATGTACCTTTTTAAAAGCTTGTCTTTCTTAACTTGCAATACAGTACTCGAGTTAATGTTACATCTTTTTACAAGCACACCAGAGGTTTTAATTGAATAACAAACACTGGTGGTGGTTGTGATGATGGTGGTTATGGTGGTAGTGATGATGGTGGTATTGATGATGGTGGTATTGATGATGGTGGTATTGATGATGGTGGTATTGATGATGGTGGTAGTGATGATGGTGGTATTGATGATGGTGGTTGTGATGATGGTGGTGGTGGTTGTGATGGTGGTGATGATGGTGGTTGTGATGATGATGGTGGGGGTTGTGATGATGATGATGGTGGTGTGAGTCTGTGGGTCTCTGTGTGAGTCTGTGGGTCTTTGTGTGAGTCTGGGGGTCTTTGTGTGAGTCTGGGTCTCTGTGGGTCTCTATGTGAGTCTGTGGGTCTCTATGCGAGTCTGTGGGTCTCTATGCAAGTGTTTGGGTCTCTGTGTGAGTCTGCGGGTCTCTGTGTTAGTCTGCGGGTCTCTGTGTGAGTCTGTGGATCTCTGTGTGAGTGTTGGTCTCTGTGTGAGTCTGTGGGTCTCTGTGTGAGTCTGTGGGTCTCTGTGTGAGTCTGTGGGTCTCTGTGTGAGTCTGTGGATCTCTGTGTGAGTCTGTGGGTCTCTGTGTGAGTCTGTGGGTCTCTGTGTGAGTCTGTGTGTCTCTGTGTGAGTCTGTGTGTCTCTGTGCGAGTCTGTGGGTCTCTGTGCGAGCCTGTGGGTCTCTGTTTGAGTCTGTGGGTCTCTATGTATGTAAGTATGTTGAAGTTATTTCGCACCGTACGTAGCCAACCGTGCGAACACGATGTAACACGATTTTTGTCCCAGGGTAGTAAGTGTTACTATTTTAATTGCTCATGCCTAAAAAGTATATAAAATGGCTATTATTGCCCACAAACTTTGCTTTTGGGTGTCTGTGTAAGTTTGTGATTCTCTATGTATGTACTGTATGTTGAACTTCGCACTGTACGTAGCCAGCTGCTGCGAGGATGACCGGCGTTTGGGTGATGTTTTTTACACTCCTTGATGAGACGAGAAAGGTGATGGTAGTGGTGGTGATGTGTCGGTGGGAGT